TTCTTCTTCTTCTTCTTCTTCTTCTTCTTCTTCTTCTTCTTCTTCTTCTTCTTCTTCTTCTTCTTCTTCTTCTTCTTCTTCTTCTTCTTCTTTTCTTCTTTTATTTTTGTGGTCGTGGGGTCTGAACTCTGGGCCTAGGCCTGTCCCTTACCTCTTCAGGTCAAGGCTAGTACTCTACCACTTGAGCCACAGCACCACTTCCAGCTTTTTCTGCTATGTGGTGCTGAGGAATCAAACCCAGGGCCTCATGCATGCAAAGCAAACACTGTACCACTGAGCCACCTTCCCAGCCCTCCCTGAGCTTCTTTTTGCTCAAGGCTAACACTCTACTACTTGAGCCACAGCACCACTTTTGGCTTTTTCTGTTTCTGTGGTACTGAAGAATCAAACCCAGGGCTCCATATATGCTAGGCAAGCTCTCTACCACTAAGCCATATTTCCAGCCCACGAATACCATGTTTTTAAAGCCAGAGTTAGAAGTACATTTATTTGTGTTAAAAAAGAGAGAGAGAGAGAGAGAGACATACACACATATGCCTGAGTATGCTTGTTACAAGCATTATCTTTCAAGAATATCAGTATTTGCTTCTAAGGAAGGGATAGAGACATGAGGAAGGAGAGAAATCTATGTAAGAGTATGTCCATCTTTCATTACACCGTATGAGTGTTTTCATCTTGTGCAAGCATTTATTTTTACATTAACATTTTGAAAGTGTATGTATGCGTGAGATAGAGAGCAGAGAGAGGGCACACAGTTATTTCAGGATCACTGACCATGATGGCCCTCGTTTATAATCACTGAACTTGGACTGTCACCCTTCTCTCCTCTATTGAAGTAGCTGCTGCCTGCTCTCTGATCAAACTTGCAGCTCCCCACAGACTTTCCATGCTATGTGGTCTTGAGGATTGCACAATAGGCAGAGTGACACTGAGTGGAGCCCAGGCCGCCACAGGCCCAGTGTGGGTGGGCATCCTGTTACTAGGGGCTGTGAGGAGCACTGCACAATCGATTCTGGGAGCACATCGGTTGAGTCCTCTACAGGTGGCTTGGGCTTTAAATACCTGGAAGCCTTCCTCAAAACAAACCACAACAGCAATGTACAGAGAAGTATGTCATTTTATGACATGAATGTATGAATAATGAATAAATAAAAATGTGCAAATGTGAATTCTATCTAAGCATATAAATACTGACTGAAGGATAATGGGGAAATGTGTGTGTGTGTGTGTGAGAGAGAGAGAGAGAGAGAAAGAGAGAGAGAGACATCTCATTTTCTAAGATTAGAGGTACTTAACATTTAAGACAAAAAGGATGATGGTGAAGATTCATTTACTTATTCATTTGGCAAACTTTTATCGCACACTAATTATGTTCAAAGCTGTGATCTAGGTAATAAAAAAATAAATCTACTATGGGTCTAAGGCTTTTGTGGGCTAACCTGGTCACTTGAGCTCCTGTAGTAATGTGAATAGCAAGGTCAAAAGGAGCTTGACTTGAAAAATTCATCAACTTCACACTCACGGAATTATTTGACCTTTATGGATTCCAGAGAGGGGAGATGCCTGATGAATCTGATTGTAGCATGAGCCATTATCCTTTTACCTGTATGCTTCTATTCTTTTCTTAACTTATTGCACAACCAAGCTTTTCTGAGCTTTTAGGGTTCTGAAAGCCAGGTGAGATGTTCTATTGTAAAATCAAATAAATAGCACTCCTGCACTTCTTTTATTTAAAAAAAAAGAAAAAAAAGAAAGAAAGAAAAAAGAAAAATCAAGTCAGTGGATAGGATGTGCTTAACTCTTTAAGTTTTTCTCCCTCTGAAGCTTTCTTAAACCCTTGTCACTAGCTATTGCTTATTCATCCTAGAATTTTTAAAAAAAAATAACACAATAGCTATCTGATTTAGAAGAAATTCCAATGCTAGTTATTTCTCTTATCTGTGAAATGAAAGGATGGAATGGCTCATTCTGAGATTGTTAGGAGCCTCCCACATCAACACCCCACAAGCTCCAGCTTTCTTAGAGGCTGTTGATGTGCTATTTGACAAGCCTGCAGGGCCGCAGCTGGGAGCTAGGGCAACACTGGCACGCCAGGCCCCACAGCCTTGAAGTGTCCTGGGACACAAGATCCCACCCCTGGATGCCTTTTGCTCAGACAATAGGAGCAAGTCCAAGTTGAACTTGGACTAAAAGTTCAACTTTTCTCTATATTCTCTAACAATTTACAACCATATATGGCAGCACATGTCCTTAAAAGAAGAATTCTACTGGAAGGTTCTTTGTGTGTGTGTGTGTGTGTGTGTGTGTGTGTGTGTGTGTGTGTGTGTGTGTTGTGGTTCTTAAAGCCTAACTAGTTCCCACAACAGTTGTTACCGGTAGCACCCTATACCCTTTTCTCCTTTAGTTTGAAGAGAAGGAGCAGGGGGAAAACTGGCTGAAAGAAATCATTTATGTTGGGTTTTCAAGTGACTATAGAAACTTTCTTATAGCTGGGGAATTGCTGAGGGACCCACAGTTTATTGAGCTAACGATGCTACACTGTGAAGGTTAGGCTAGGGCAGAAGATGCCTGGTCTCCGCTGCCTGAACTCCACTCACTAAGCCCCTGACCCAGGAAGGAGCACTGGTGGGCTGGACAGCCCGAGGGGAGAGGCTGCCCACTGTGGTTGGAGGACGATGCAACAGCAGAGCTGCATTACAGCAGGGTGTCAGTCACGTGGCCGCTCAAGCAGAGAAAAGCCAGACCTTACTAGAACCAGCTGGGACCAATATGGACCACAAAGATGACCTTCTCTTGTCATTTGCTTTAGGATAACAGCCTGTCCGCATCACTAGCCTTGCAAAATTTCCGGTTCCTATTATACATCTGACATCCTCTCACATCCAAGAACCCCACGGAAGGACACACTGGGGAGCAAACTCCATTCTGAGAAAATCCCTGATCTATCCCAGAAATTCCCATCAAGTCTGTGCCTTAGATTATGAACTATCCCCCTTCTATCAAGCTTGGCTGTAGCACGTGCTTCCTCAAATCCCGGTGTCTGGGACGCACTCTGAGAGCCTCTGTACTTACTCCTGACACGAGGGATTTTGGTTTGCAATAAAAGATGGACTTTGTCTGGTCTCTGAATTTTTTCAGGTGGTGACAAGAACCTGGAATATATTGGGTAGAAGCCTCAGTCTTTCCGTCTGTCTCTGACACCTCCTTGGTCCTTGCTCCCAGCAATAGAAAGACAGTTGTTTGCCACGCCGAGTCCAGTGGAGTCTGCTTAGCATGGGAAACCATCTATCAGACCAAGATAGGGGCTTCAGAGACCTATCTCTGAGTTTTGGGACTTCACCGAAGTCTACCTCAGAGAATGGGGCTTTACAGAAACCTATCTCTGAGTTTTGGGACTTCACCGAAGTCTACCTCGGAGAATAGGGCTTCTAAGAGGCCTACTCCTGGAAAAAGGCTGGCAAACCCCTGGGAAAGATGTGTTTCTGCCTTTCTTTTCCTCATAAGAGTGCCTATTAATCTTTTACTGCTTATACTGCTCTTTGTACTTACTCATTGTCAACGTTCCCTTATTCAAAGCTATTTCTTAAGAGTGTTGACGACTCCAATATCTGATGAGTGTCTTAAAAATATGACTAACTCACCAGAGTTAAGTGCTACCCTGGAAGCCCCTCTTATGGAGGCTAGTAGACAAGTTATAAGTAAATATAAAAGTATTGGGGGTTTCACGAAGTCACTTCAGCAGAAGGAATTGTTTGTAAGGGATTTACAAGAAGCAGTAGGCTCAGCTAGAACAGAAAGGATGCATGGCAATTGCTGAGACAATTATTTAGGAGAAAGAATTTCCTGCTATTTACTAAGAGACTTGCTAGATCCAGGTCTCCTTGAGGTTTACTATTAAAGAAGAAACAGGAAAGATCTATTTGGGAAAGTTAAGGCCTCTATAAAGATAGGTAATGGTTAATTGGTGACAAACATCGTAATTGTTGTATTTCTTAGAGATAAGCCGGAAACAAGTGCCTATCAGGCGATCAGCTGGTGACCACCTAAAAATGAAGCCATGCAGCAGGATTGTGTAACCTTTTGCCCTTTCTCATGAAGACTTCTGTTATAAAAGTTTGTTATCCTCTGCATTAAATCACACTCAGCATCCACTCCTCTTGTGTGTGAGTTGTCTGTTTGCCATCTCCCCCCCTATTCCAGGTTCCTCCCCTAGGTGTCCTCCGTCGTCCTGACAGAACCAGGTCCGCGGCAGTTGTTTAAATCTTCCCAGGAGCAGCTGTGTACACTTTGAGGCACAGAAAACTTTTCTAGGAAGTGGTGCTGTGGCTCAAGTAGTAGAGCACTAGCCTTGAGCACAAAGAGCCTCAAGGACAGGGCCCAGGCCGTAAGTTCAAGTCCCACAACTGACAAAAAAAAGTAAGCTGGGTGCTGGTGGCTCATACTTATAATGCTAGCTACTCAGGAGGCTGAGATCTGAGGATCACAGTTCAAAGCCAACCTGGGCAGAAAAGTCTTTCTTTTTGGTTGGTTGTAGGACTTGAACTCTGGGCTTGGGTGCTGTCTCTGTGCTCTTCAGCTCAAAGAGAGTGCTCTACTGCTTGAGCCACAGCGCCACTTCTGGTTTTCTAGTGGCTTATTGGAAATAAGAGTCTTATGGACTTTCCTGCCCGGGCTGGCTTTGAACCGCGATCCTCAGATCTCAGCCTCCTGAGTAGATAGGACTACAAGCGTGAGCCACTGGTGCTCGGCTCTGGGCAGAAAAGTCTGTAAGACTCATCTCCAATTAACCACTAGAAAAATTGAGAGCATTCAGACTCTGAGTTCAAACCCCATGACCACCACCACCACCAAAAAAAAAAAAAAACCCAAACCTTTTCTAATAAATAGTAATAACAATGACAGATCATATGTATTAAGCTGCACAGTGGACTTGGCATCTGTCCACACAATCTGAATAACACAGGCCTTACTACAGTGTAATCTTTAGAATTAAAAAAATTAGAGGGAGGTTGTGAGAGACGTAACCTGCAAGAACAGGTTTGTTTGTTTGTTTGCTCATTTATAAGTCTGAAGTTCTTTTTGGAAAACTTGTCCTGAGTTTTGTTCCTGGGATGATAATGATGTCACTGGTGGCGTGACATTGCGGCTAACTCATCATTCTTCGAGTTTGATGTTGACATTAACTGGGATGCCTGTCAACTGTGGGGTCTGGAGATGGTTTCAGCTTTTTCCAGGGTGTGTGTGTGTGTGAGAAAGAGAGTGAATATGATGCCTCCATCAGCCTCTGAGAATGAATGGCTATAGTAGCCATACTCAGCTCAGCAAAGGTCGGCGGAATGTAACTTTGTTACCAGTGGCAGAGAGTTCTTCATTCAAATTTCCACTTAAAAGACATTTGCACATAGAAATAAGGTTACATCTGGTGGCTCACACCTGTAAAGCTAGCTACTTAGGAGGCTGAGCTCTGAGGATCATGCTTCAAAGCCAGCCCAGGCAGGAAAGTCTGTAAGACTCTTATCTCCAATTAACTACCAGAAAACTGGAAGTGGCACTATGGCTCAAGTGGTGGAGTGCTTGCCTTGAGCTGAAGAGCTGAGGGACAGTGCCCAAGCCCAGAGTTCAAGCCTCATGACCACCACCACCACCACCACCAACAACAACAAAAGAAATAAAGTTACAGAAGTGATTTAGTTGTGCAACTAAGTCATCAAGCATGTTTAATGCTCTGCACAAAAGGGGATTATAGTGTCACAGAGTCAGCTGCTACCATAGCACTGCAAGATGCAGCTTTGCTGTGTGTGTATGTGCAATTAAAATATGTGTATGTGTCATGCAGTTAAAATAAGGAAAAAACAAGTGAAGAAGAATAACAAGATAATCACAGTATCAAATCTTAGGAATACTTTAAGTGAACCAGGCAAACACCAACATACCTCCAGCTGGGCTTGGAGGTATGTATGATTCAACTGGTAAAGCACCAGCGAAACAAGTATAAGGCTCTGAGTGAATGATTATAAGTGAGGATTTGTCTATATTTATATGTAGTACATTATATATAACATGAATATACTTATCTGGATCAAAAACAGAACCAAGTAGAAATCGAACAAACCAATTCGAATGGACAAAATAAATTCAGGTGAATAACACAATTCTAGCCATCTAGTTCTTTCTTAGCAAACACAAAGTGTGTATTGTCAATAGCTTTTATAAAACATACAAATTTCCTGAGGCTGAAAAATGGACATGGGATAGGCATAGAAGGCACTGATTCACATGATGTGCAAATTTGGATGGATGCCATATGCTTAAATTCCAAAACATCTCAGATATAGACTCCATCCATCCATCCATCCATCCATCCATCCATCCATCCATATATCCATTTGATCCATTTAGGTACACAATCTACCAACTATCATAATCAAAATTAAAAATATACTTCAGTAATTTGAGAATCTATACGAGTTCCCAAGTGTTAGGAATAATTCTTATTATTGAAAAAGTTAGGAATAGATAGCCTATTGGAGGCATAGCTCAACAGTAAGAGTGCCTGTTCAGCAAGCACAAAGCCCTGAGTTCAAACCCCATACTGCAAAAATAAACAAACAAATGTCTGCTTAGAAATAATATATAGCCAACTCAAAGACTTTTTATATTTTATTTTGCCAGTCCTGGGGCTTGAACTCAGGGCCTGAGCACTGTCCCTGAGCTTCTTTTGGTCAAGGCTAGCACTCTACCACTTGAGCCATAGCACCTCTTCCTGCTTTTTCTGTGTATGTGGTACTGAAGAATCGAACCCAGGGCTTCATGCATGCTAGGCAGGCAGTCTACCACTAAGCCACATTCTCAGCCCTACTTTTTATAGTTCATTATTTTGCATTGTAAATGTGTTATCTTTTCATTAGCAAACCTTAGCTGAATTATTAACATAGTTTCACTTTTAAACTGTTACATTTCTTCAAATGAGTACAATAGCATTTCTTTCTTTCTTTCTTTCTTTCTTTCTTTTTGGGGCCGGTCGTGGGGCCTGAACTGTGGGTCTGGGCATTGTCCCTCAGCTCTTCAATTCAAGGCTAGCACTCTACCACTTGAGCCACAGCGCCACTTCCGGCTTTTTATTTTTCTGCTTATGTGGTGCTGAGGAATCGAACCCAGGGCCTCATGTATGCAAGGCAAGCGCTCTACCACTGAGCCACCTTCCAGCAGCATTTCTTTCAAAGTAGGGATATGGCAGGTTTTTTATTAAGTGAGAAAATATTTTGCCCCTGTGCCAATACTTGATAAGATTTTGCATTGTATTTTATTTATATCCAACAAAAGGAAAATGCTTTGCAGTCTACAGCATTCTCTTTTGGTTGCAAAAAGCCCATTGATCAGACTGGGCTGAGAAATGTCAGGGGTGGCCGTCACTCCCAGCCACGTGGGGGTGCTGTGAATCTCTAGGTGCTCTCAGGGAAGCCTCCGCTGTTACCTGTAGTGTTGAAGCCGAAGAGGAGAGGGCAGGACACAGCAAAGGCCAGGACCCACACGGCTGTGATCATGAGGGCCACACGTCGACAGGAACTCTGCCCTGTGCCATGCTGATAGTGAACTGGCATGACCACTGCAGTGTACCTGTGAAAACAAGGGCGGAGGTGTCAGGCTTGAGACAGGATGTGGAGCCATTGTGACAACAAGTTGAAAGAGGTTACTAAAGAAGGAACCAGGCCAGCACATGTCAGAGAGGAGTTAGCAACGTGTTGGTTGAATGAAAAGAGAAAGGCTGAGATGACAAAGTTCTTGAGAGGAAGAGCAGAGAAAGGAAGGAAGAACATAAACAATATAATAGTAGCAGGTTGCTGGGAAGTTTCTGAGTGATTTTTCCAGCACCAGCAGCTCCAAGTCCCATGTCCTTTATTTCACAGACTCTTGATGCAGGTCTGGGGGCCTTTAACTTTCTTCCATAGCTTTCTAGACAGTAATACTCCTGTCCTTCAGGAAGATGTTTTCCCCCTGCTTGTATCCTAATACAAATTCTGCCCTCAAAGTGAGTGTTTCAACTAATAGAGGCTTTGAAAATGGATCTGAGTAATAGCCGGATGGAGGTTTATTTAAAAATCGTGTCTTTTTGCTTTTACACGAGGTGTTAGTCAACCTTTTTCTTAGCAGTGATAAATACTGGAGAGCTAAAGGTTTCAGTCCTTGATTAGCTGGCTCATTACTTTGAGTGTGCCATGAGGCAGGACATTATGGCAGTAGCAGCCTTCTCCTCCCCAAAGAAGAGGAGATTTGGGGAGATCAATGATGCACTCAGAGCCAGAAAATTGGGGTGGCCCTATAGGCTGAAGCACAGAACAAGATTTCCCCAGGAAAGACCACGTGGCAAGAGCACTTGCAGAGCATTTCTGAACACTCAGGGCTGAATTTCCTCAATAACTGGATACTTGTAATTGCCTGGGATGAGGAGAGGGGATAGGAAGGGCCTGCTAAAAATGCAGATTCCCAGGCCAGGCCCCTAGAGATCTTAATGTGGTACTTTTGGAAGGGGAACCCAGGAACGTGTATTTTTTTCCTTTGTTTTATTTCCTTGCGATGTTGGCGATGGAACCGGGGCTTGTGCATGCTAGGCAAGAGCTCTCTCTACCACCCAGTGACATCCGGGGTCCAGAGATGAGTATTTTTAACAAGCGAATGTATCTTATCACTAGACAAGTTTGAGGAAGTCTACCTTAGGGGAGACTTCTGTCAAAGATTCCTAACTTGGTAAGAAGTGAGAGACAAGACTACAATGTATCACTGTCACATCACACTTTTTTCCTCCCCCCCCTTTCTTTTTGAAAGCATGATTCAATCCGTTAGCATAAACGAGGCCCTCACCCGCTTTGCCCATGCTGTTCCAGAATCCGCCATCAGAGGGCACCAGAATGCAGCAAGAAGGCTGCCAGCTCTGCTGGGGTGAGAAGTTCACGGCTCACCTGGGGGCTCTCCAGGCTCTGCGGGGAGGGGCAGGCGGGAAACCCTCCCCCGCCCCCCTCCAGGTGCCTGCGGGGACCCCAAGTCCTATCGGGGCAGATTGTTTAGCCTCCCGTTTCCTCTCGGAGCGATGGCCGATGACCGATCGGATGACCGACCGCGAGCGTCAAGCACCGCCTTGGGCTTGGCCCGGGGCCGCCTGTGCGCGCAGGCCCGCCGGGCGGTCTGCGCATTCCGGGACCAGGCCCGCCGGGCGGTCTGCGCGTTCCGGGACCGGCGCACCCGCTGTGCCGCGGTCCCCGCGCCCTCTGCCAGCCCGCCTGCCTTGTGTTCGTGCTTTCTCAGGGTGGCGTGGTCCGTGCGCTTTAGAGATAAGGGACGGGGGGGGGGGGTTGGTGGGGGCGTGTCTCCTCTCTGTCCCAACTCTGAGGCTTTCCCGTGTGACTGAACTTCGTTACTCCAGTGCCCAGTACTTATTTAAACACTGAAGACACAGTATGATCGTTACCTTACATATTGTGCTAAGGGATCAGAGATGGCTCGTCTCGGTGAATTGATGTCTCTGTGTGTATGTAACTCCTGATTATTGGGGAACATTGACTTTATCAACCAACGGGCGTGCAGGCGTTCCTCAGTCACAGTCTGAGGCAGTTGCTGTTATGTCTATGGCACAGATGAGGAAACCGAGAAGAGACCCTGCAAGTTTGATGGACTTGCCCGGAGTCCCTGCTATTTAGGCCTTCCAGAGCTATAGGGACTTAGAGTGAGACTCGCAGATGTCTTTGAACAGTAGGACAGTTTCTAGAGTACAAGGAGGCAGACAGGCTAGAGATGGGGTGCACTGCACACCCGTAATCCTTCAACTTTGGAGGTGGAGGCTGGAGGGTCGTGAGTTCAAGGCCAGCCTGGACTATGTATTGCATCCCTGCCTCCCCCCCCTACCCGGCCCCAAATCCCCAAACAATTACAAAACAAAACAAGAGCCCTGGGATGTCATTCAGTAGTAGCATGCCCATGGTCCTATGTTCAATTCCCAGCACCCAGAAACAAAACAACACAATGGCAGGCTGGCTGCCTCCTTGCTTTCCTGCATTTACTAGCGATCATGACCTGCTTATGGATGCATTCTGGCCTACAAATCAGTATTGGTAAAATGCATCAGGGAACCTACCTTGCTGAATTATCAAGAGGACTAGCGATAAAGAATGAAAAGCTCTAAGTGCCTGGCACATTGTACATACTAAATAAACAATAGCTATTTTGATTGCTGTTGCTTGTAGCTTCATACAAGTTAGAATTAGCTAGGCCATTGAAGAAGTTAGGGTTGTGTTTCATTTAGCCTGAGAAAACTGTACCTATAGAGTCCAGCTGCTGGCATTGCCCCCTCCCTAATGCCCCACCCCTACCTTCACTAATAAAGGGATTCATCATAGCAAGTTAGAAAGTAATAGTGGCAGAAGCAGAAGAATTGGGTCCTGCTCTCACACCTGTATAGAAGCTATAGAACCCTCTGCAAGCATGGACCAATTCTGCTCAGATGGGTGAACTGTGATTGGCTTTGACTCCCAGTTGCATCATGGGTGGGGTGGGGGGGACCTATCTATCTATGGAAGATCTTAGTACTCTGGCCAAGATCGACTTCTAGCCAGAGCCCTGTCCCAAAGTGGGAGCAGGGGTGGGATGGGGGTGGAAAGGAGGAGGGCACCTCTTTAGGGAAGCTGACAGTGTGGGTGGGGGTGGGGAGTGGGGGGGGAAGAGGCCTGCCTGGGTGGGAGGGCCTTACTCTCACTCCCCTGCCTGAGTTTAATGAGCCCCAGATCTCGGGGAGGGTTGCTTTTCACCACCTTTTATTTGGTCAGACAGGGGGTTCAATAAATCTTTAGTTCCGTGGCCTCCCCTCGTGGAATTGTTGAAGGAGAAAGCCTTTTGCAAATGACTGGAAAGCCCTTTGCAAATAGAAAGTGCTTATTTAGATGCAAACGAAAAATCCAAGGTGCCTGTGACTCATCTGGTACCTATTGTGCTTGCTGCAAAGACAGGAGGCTTGCTTGTGTGATGGGTGCCATTTGAGAGCCACTTAAAGAACTCCCTGGTGAATGAATTTGGTTGCATTATTCCTGGGCTCCTCTCTGAGGACTCTAATTTTCACTGCTTGGTTGTGTTCTTCCTCTTCTGACACTTTCTCAGCCATCTCCCAGAGTTAGCTCTGACCCCAGGATGCAGCAGCAGAAGCGGGGGGGGGGGGGGGTGACCTACTGCGAAGCCATGGAGCCACAAGGTGGGGGCTTGGACTCAGAGGGAGGACTTCCCTCTCTGCTTATTTAAAACAAGAAAAGGCGGCTTTAATCCACAGATCTGGACCTAAGAATCTAATGACAATAGTATTACTTGTTTTCAACAGCCCCCCCTTTTTATCATTTCCTTTTCTTCTCTATCTCTTACCACCCTGTTATTACAGACCAGGGCTTCATGACCAAAAATGACTGAATCCATTTGGTCAAGTTTGTCAGACTGGTGACTGGCATTGTGTGAAAACCAAGGGTCCGTGTGAATGACTGAATTGCTAATGAATTGACCAGCTATCTGGCATCACATGAACAGATTTTAATGCGGTGTACTGCAAACTGCTGTGAGGGATAATGGAGGCAGCTTTTTCTGAGGCTTATTTTTCATTCTTAGAACAGGGAGGGGGCTTCATTTGGAGGTCTGGTGAAGATAGGTCCATAATGAAAAGAAGCCCTTCGGTCCCTGGGATCGAAAGCATGGCTTGGCCTTTCAGGTTTCAGGCAGATGGATGCTGTGAGTTATGGAAAATTTCCTATATGGCACACAAGCCAGTTGAAGCTTTATTTTTGTTCATTGCCTTTGAAATGTGTCATGTGAAGATGTGTGTGGGAACCTAGGCTACTGCAAAATGGAGAACAGTGCCCCCTTCTGGCAGGAAAATTGTAAGAAGATACCCTCTCAGGACCTACTCAGGACTTGGAAAATGAAGCCCTGGCTGAATTCTGTTCCCACACTCCTCTTCATGATACAACTCCTCAGCCTCTCCTTTAGGCCTCTCTCTCTCTCTCTCTCTCTCTCTCTCTTTCTCCTCTCTCTCTCTCTCTCACACACACACACTCTGTGTGTGTGTCTGAGACTGTGTCTGAGGTGGAGTGGATGGGCATAATATAAGAAGATAGGGAGGATAGTCAGGAACTACCTCCATTTATATAATTGCCTCTCCTTACAGGTTAACCTTTTACCCTCTCCTGAGCTTTCTGAAGATGCCTATCTGTGATATTAGCAGGCTAGTATAGGCTGATAGGTAGATATGAGCTGGACCCAAGATGTGCCGCCATTACAAGATTTCATTCCCTACAACTGAAGATGGCTCTTAGGTTGGACCAGATACGATTATGGTCTTACATCCTTAGGGAACCCACTCTCTTTAACAAAATCAAACATGTCTCTTGAGGCACAATGCTCACTATGACCTCCCGCGGGTGGTGCTGAGAGCAAAGAGGATCTAATTGGCAGGCCCCTGTCCTTGTCCTCTTCAGAGCTCAAGTGTATGACTTCCCACAGCAAGGGAGTCCCTACAAAGGTATCAATACATTTGAGGACAGGTTTCAGATGAGATCCTCAAGTTTTTTCCCACCTACTAACCTCATCCTATTGGATAACATAATCTCAGGCCTTGACAACTTTGGGCTGTACCCGAAGAACAAGAGGAGCCCTTGGAACATCCCATTCACTGGTAACAAACATTGGCAGCTCCAGCCAAAGGCCACTGAATTTAGCTTAATACTCCTCACTCAAGGCTCCATAACAAGCAAAGCAAGGAGATTCACAGGTGACAGGAACCTGGGCTTAACAGAACAGTTTGGGATGGTAGAGCTGACAATAAGGCAAAACAGTTGCAGCCAACGACTTCCGTAAACAACCCATTCTCCCAAACATGTACCAAACATCCAGAAATTATACAACGGGCTTAGATATGAGAGCTAAAAATATTATAATGTCTCTATCTCATCAGTTTTTGACAGCTCTATTGAAATATAATGCACATATGGCACAATTAATTCCCTTCCAGTGTACAATTTAATTTTTTGGTATATTTATGGGATTAGGCAACCATATCCTCTATTTTTAAACTACTTTTCAATGGCATTATTTCTAGCAGGGTGGACATTTTTCTTTTCATTTTCCTTCTCACTTGGAGAGCTAATCCAGGTTGGTTTGCAATATCACCAAAGGGAAGGCTTTGCATGTGCATTCGTTATGTTATTCTTTTAGTTTTTGTTCAGTACATGGAAGAAATTTCAGATTATTGGTGGAAAAGGTACAGCTCTAGGCCATATGAGAAAAGGCCAGCTACATGTATGACAATGTAGTAGCAGAGAAAGCATTGTGAGGACTCAGGGCACCTGAATCAAGCAGTGTAGAAGGGGCCTATAAATAAGGACATCCCAAGAGGATAGAGCATGAGGAGGATGTGGGAAAACCAAAAAAAAGAAGAGGTTAATAAAATCGACTTAGTGAGCTGCAGTGGCTCACACCTGTAATCCTAGCTACTCAGGAAGCTGAAATCTGAAAGGTGACAATTGAAGACTATTCAGACAGAAAAGTCTGTGAAACTTTATCTCCAGTTAACTAGCAAAATGTTAGACTGAAGGCACAACTCAAGTGGTAGAGCATTACTGAGAACAGGAAAGCTGAGCAAGAACTGGAGTTGAAGCCTTAATACCTTTACACGTACACACACATACAAAAATAAAAGGACTGAAGCCATGGATTTTGAATAGGGTAATGTAAACGAGGGCTACAATTGTGGGGTGTGTACTTCGGAGGGTGGGTGATGTTACTGGCACATCAAATTTGATAGGGGAGGGCAAAGAAAAGAAAGATTCAGTTGAGCTTGAAAAAAGGTCTGCAAAAGCAGTCTGTAAGTAGAGATTGCTTGAGTGTGGGATATTAGGAAAAGAGAAAGAGTCCAACGAAACCCAGCATTCTGAGACAAAGATGGTGTCATTGAGAATTCATCAAATCAAGACGGTTTGTGCTTGATTAACAAACCCCAAAGCTCTATAATATTTTGTGTTATAGAAACCAATGTGTTATTCAGGCAGCAACATAATCTGAAATTTGGGGATGTCTGCAGGGGTATAGGTAGAGATTTGGTAAGGTTAGCAAACAAATCTTATTAATTTGAGTACAATAGTCATTCATTCAAATGTAGGCATGGCCCCACCCCAGCTGTGTGACTTTGGCAAATGCTTTAACCCAGAGGAAATGGAGATTTTATTAGAATTTAAGAGTTGGTAGTTACGATGAACTGAATTAATCCATGCTAAAGCTTAACATAATGCAATACATTCTCAATAGATGGCAGGTCTTCCTTGGGGTTATCTTTTGGAACCATTGCGAGATATTGAAGTCATTGGGAAGGAGAGAAGAGGTGAAGGGAGCAGGAGGCTGTTGAGGGCTCAGATGACCGCCCTGCCCCGGGGTTCCCAGTGTGCCTGGGGATCCCTTGTGTCAATTCTAAGTCTTAGGCAGTGGGGGAGAGAATGAAGAGTAGAAGATGAAAAGGGGAAGTGAGAAACAGAAGGATTCAGAACAAGGATGGAGAATCTGAGTGCTTTTAGGGATGGCTCCAGTAGAACACATGTACAGAAGAACCCAAGTCACAAACATCCACTCCAGGAACCAAAAGCTATATTTAAAGCACAATTCATTTGCTGTTCTTAAATTGTAAAAGGAAACCTATAGACTCGAGGCATCCTTCCTAAAATTGCCTTTCTCTGGCCTGGAAAATATATCCATGTTTGCATCTCTCTTTCCTCCCAAACAAATAAGCAAAACAAGTACAGAATTTCCTATCAACAAGCAAAACAAATACAGAATTTCATATCAACAGAGGCAGCTCACCTTTTGTCCTTTTCTACTACCGTTTTTCCCCTTCCAATTAGAAATCACAAAAGCCCCTAAGGATGTTAGAAAGGTAAACTCACAATCTTATTTAGGGGAAAGACTAGGAAAGCTTATAGGACAGCTATTCCTCTCCTGGGAAAAGTATCTAAAAACAAAGAGACGGGTGCTAGTAGCTCATGTCTCAGAAGGCTGAGATCTGAGGTTTACAGCTCAAAGCCAGCCTGAACAGGAAAGTTGATGAGACTCTTATCTGCAATTAAGTACTAAAAAGACAGAAGTGGAGGTTTGGTTCAAGTGGTAGAGCACCAGCCTTGAGTAAAAAAGTTTAGGGACAGTGCCCAGGCCCTGAGTTCAAGCTCCAGTACTAAGAGGGAGGGAGGGAGAGGGGGAGGGAACAGAGGGATACAGACACAGACAGAGACACAGAGAGAGACAGAGAGAAACAATGCAGCAAGTTGAAGTGATTCCATTGTCTCAAGAACATAACCCGTATTCCCTGCCGCCCCCTTCTTTCCAGGACACCTTTCTCCTAAGCCCAGGAGGGAACTCCAAGCTGTACCTGTCTATACTGATGGCGCAGAGGTTCAGGATGCTGGCTGTACACATCATGACATCCAAGGTGACAAAAACATCACAGCAAATGCGGCTGAAATTCCATACTCCTCCTGTCACCTAGATATTGGAGACAAGAAAGATGTTAGTGTTTGTCTCAGCCAAGGAACAACAACCCCATTAGCTCTCTGGCCTTCCCTCTGCTGTTCAGTACAGGTGTTGATGCACCCTCCCAACTCCCTGTAGTTGATACTATTACCATGGTTACATGGACACAGAGGGTGTATAGGCTGTCTGAGCCTGATTGCTTAGGTATGGACAATCAGTGTTCAAAGGGATCTTCCAAATCAACTAGTGCTATTTTCTCCCAGTGGTCTTTGGTAAAGTATTTATTAAGGATGTAGATTTCTGCATCTTCTTTACGCCTAGGGAGCCAGAATCATGGAACTGGAGCCCATGAGTCTTCATCTGAAAGTGAACACTTCCAGATACATCAAGAGTTGTGCATCACTGATCTAGCTCAAACTGAAGCTCCTCCTCGTGCTTCAGGGATGTGCCCACAGATGCATATCAGCCTCTAGATGCACAGCTGGTAGTGAAAGAGCATGGGCAAGTACCTGATGTATTTATGATGCTGAAATTGCCTCTTAGAAGCCCCCTGCCTTGTAGGGAACTCACCACATACTCAGGAAAGAAGCTAAGAACAGGTTTGTCTTAAAATGTATCTCCAAAGTAAAAATCCCCCTGGCTTCAGGTTTGAAAGCTTGGAAACATCCCAAAACAACATGTAAAAAAAAAAATCTATGTAAAATAAGTCTATATCCATGTGACTGCCTTTCACCCCCAAATTCTACATCCCTATCATGGAGAAGTGGGGAAAGGCTGGACCCAGGAAAGGAAAAAGAGCAAGATTTTCTTTTCTTTTTGTTTTTGGTCAGTGGTGGGGCTTGAACTCTGGGCCTGGGCGCTGTCCCTCAGCTCTTCAGCTCAAAGCTAGTGTTCTACCACTTGAGCCACAGTGCCACTTCCGGTTGTCTGAGCGGTTTATTGGAGATAAGAGTCTCACGAACTTTCCTGCTGGCTTTGAACCATGATCCTCAGATCTCAGCCTCCTGTGTAGCTAGAATTACAGGCATGAGCCACTGGTGCCAAGCTAGGAGCAAAATTTTCTGCCTAGAAGGCTGGCTCTGACCTCATGCACTTCATTTAAGTTCAAACTCCATAGTTCTCCTCTGAGTAACGCTTAGGAAATATCAGGAATTTAGGTTACTCAATTTGTATTGTTTTGGGTTTTTTTTTTGAGACTTTTACATAACCTAATTAAAGCAGGAAGATTTGTCAGGGAGATTGTCACTTCTGAATGTCTACAAACCGACATCCCTGGGCCCCGAGGCTTTGGGCAGTTGCCAGGATCCTGCCTGTGGGGCTGCCATTCTTGGGGAATCTGTTCTGTCAAAGAGAAGCCTGTGAAACTTCCTGCTCCCACATGTAGTTGTGTGTTTATGGTGTTCCTCCTGAGCAGGCCCATTGGCTATTCATGGAGGAAAGAAGGAAGGAAGGAAGGAAGGAAGGAAGAAAGGAAGGAAGGAAGGAAAGAAGGAAAGAAGGAAGGAAGGAAGGAAGGAAGGAAGGAAAGAAGGAAAGAAGGAAGGAAGGAAAGAAGGAAGGAAGGAAAGAAGGAAAGAAGGAAGGAAGGAAGGAAGGAAGGAAGGCAAGCAGGCAGAAAGGGAGAGAGGGAGGGAGGGAGGGAGGAAGGAAGGAAAGGAGGAAGGGAGGAAGGAAAGGAAGGAGGGAGGGATGGAGGGAAAGAGAGAAAGAGGGAAAGAGGGTGAGAAGAAGTTTTTCTCACCAAGACTGTCTTGATGTGAATAGGTCTCTTGACTCTTCCTTCCTGTTTTATACCAATAAAGCAAGGACCTTCTCCTTCCTTAACAACCTCCACTTGGATTTATTTTCTGCTTGGCCTTCTATTTTATTTCCATATTTGGTCATTTCTAGATGCTATTTTGCACTCACCAAATATTTTTGTTGTTGTAGTTTAACAGCAATGATAAAAATTAAAACAAGCGTGACAAAGTCAATTTTTGTTTACTTGGTTGTGGATTTACTTTCTGGCTCTATATAAATATAGACCTAATATAAATTTAGAGGAATTCTGAGAATGAAAGAAACTTTAAAAAGGGAGATGTAAGGACCCTGATGTACAGAGTGATAATCACACAATGATTTAGGAGAAACGGGCGAGTGAAAGACAGTTCTGCTCATTACACAGTACGCTCAGATGCTATCAAAGCTTCTCTCTGAAGTTAAATTTTGTATCTTTAATTTCATTTCACTATGTCTACTGTGCAGCTTATGCTTTAAACTTGGAACAAAACCGCTTTAAAAAATATTGGTGAGTGTGACTGTATATCAGGGATAGTATTAGTGAAAGTAGATAGGAAAATAGTCAACCCTGATGGCTTACTGCATGCCATTCATTCATCAAATTCATTCACTCATTCATTCACATATTCATTAAGAAAGTGCTTGTGAAGCTAGAACAGTTCTTAAAAGGAGGGTATATTATGTGTGTTAAGAGGTTCTACAAAATATACCACAGGATAATCTCCGAAGAAATTACAAGGTAACTGGAGAAGGGAGGCAATCTTGAATACACTAACTAGAGATTAATATGAGAACCTAAAATCATTACTATAAACATTTATTGAAAATTTACCCTAAATCAGTCACCTCCTTATATGACCCATTGACCCCATTCAGAAATTATTTTTTCCATTAATTTATTTTCAGAAGTTATCTTGAAGTCGTTGCACAGAGGGAGCTCAATTCAACACATCATTTTGTGAATACAATGCAGCCTTGGTCAATGTCACCCCCTTCATCATTCTCTCCCATCTCTCCCAATACCATCCACCCCTTCAACTTGCCTGGCTTCCAGAAATTTCTATCATACTTTCAAAAACTTCAGATTTTGAAAATGGAAATTGTGCTTTGCTTTGTATGTGCCTTAGAGATTTTTTTTGAGGACTATCTAATTTGATAGATTATTTGGTGAACCATGTTCACCAAATAGAGTTGAAGGTCTCTGAAGAACCTGAATCTGTTCTAAAGATCCCATTGCCTGTTGTTCTAAATGTGGAGAGATGGAATGTTGCCAGTTAAAAGCCAACATCTTAGTTTATATCATAGTACCTTAAAAAAATCACCATTTACTTTTAACATTTGCATCTAATCTAACATTCTCACAACTATTAGGTAAACCCTTTAGAATTTATTGCTAAGCCTAACATATTTCCAGCCTCCACCAACCCTAAAGCTAAGAATACTACAAAATAGCATCTGGTATCTATAGCAAAGATCTCCCACTTAACTGTTACCCACCTAACACTCCCACTAATGTATTAGTTAAATACATTGATTTATGACTTTCCTTTGTTCTGTGGCTATAAATGCTCATGTCACTTCTTCCATGGCAGATCATATCATCAGGGTAACTTGAAGCATATTTGGCTCAGAATTAATCTATTTTCTTATTTCCTTCAGAGCAGACGTGTTGTTTTTTGCATTGACAGACAGTATTTTTATCATAGAGGAAGGAAGCTGAGAAAGGCTAAGCCCATTGCCAAAGGGCACCTAGGTAGTAAAGGCAGACCTGACACTAGTATGGAGGTAGTTAATACTTGCTATAGGAAAGTGTCACTCAGGAAGAGGCAGCTATTAGGGAAGAGGGGGAAAGAAGAAAACAAGGTATCACCAGGGATCTTTGTGTGACAGACTATGTCTCTTCTTCCTAGGGAACGAGGGCCTTCCTGATCACCTCTTTCGCAGGGCTACAAAACAGCAGAGCAAACGTCAATGGTGGCTGCTGCCTTTGGGGCTGAGAGGACACACAGCAGCTTTCTTTGCTGCCCCTCTCATGAAGATCCCAGGTTGTCCTCTTCTTCCAGGCCATGGGATACAACCCCTGCCCTGGCTTTGCCAATTCCCTGTCTCTAGACTCTGCCATGTAAATTCCCCTTCATTCCTTCATCTCAGCTAAGTGTCAAGAAGAAAACAACCCGATTAGATGATTAAAGTAATCCCTACTAAGGTGCCACACTTAGCCTTCCCTGCAGCTTTCCTCATTAAAATGAGTCTGTAATTGGTGGAATTTGAAATGGAAATAATATATATATGTATATGTATATATATCCAGCAGTCTCCCATACCAAGTAAATAATAATAAGGGCTCAATAAAGAGCAGCAAAGGGTTAAGAATATGCCAAGTAACCTGCACAGATTATCTCATAGCAACTGAATGAAATAAATATGATGTCCAATTTATAAATAAAGGGAGACCTGATTGGGGTTGCCAGAGGTGTTGTTAGCCTTAGGATATGTAACTACTAGAAGGAGACAGAATTCCAGTCCCCTAGTATCAACTAGGATTCTATTCTGCCTCCTAAAGGTCTGAGCACAACATACACCTCTTAACTCCTCTGCTAGCACCAAAGGTAGATAGATAGATAGATAGATAGATAGGATATTTGTCCACTCACTCACCAGTAGATACACTATTTATTGAGTGTGCACTATATGCATGATACTTGGCTTGTATCTTGTGTTAAATTAATTGTTTGTGTTCTCCGGACTTCAGAAGACAAGGCATGGGTGTGTGTGTGGGGGGTGTGTGTTGTGAATGCATGCGTCTGGGGGTGGGTGGGCAGAGGGTCCAGAAGATGCTAAGAAAATAACTGTGGTATAGTGTGATGAGAGCTGACAGAGAGGTAAGTACAAAGCGTTGGGAAATCATGAAAGGTAAAGTGATTTTTTAAAAAATTAAAGCAGAAAAAAAAGAAATCTGATTGATTTAAGACTCTTTAGAGACATGATTTTTTCACTTAAATTCTGATGAATAACTCACTTCAGAATTATAGGCAGCCAGGTGGTGTTACTCTCACTTGCTAATGAATATAACTGACTCCCTTTGGCAATGCAGAAGGTGGGGAGTAAGCAGGAAAGAGTCTTCAGGTACTGACTTGGCTATTGATTTTCAACAGACACAGCCTAAGGCAGCAATTCCCAAATTTACTGATGATAAGGCTGCACCTCCCAAATCACTTATTAAACAAATGAGT